TTGTGGGAGAAAACACTCTAACATTTGAAGAATTGATAACTGTCTTGAACCAAATCGAAGCATGCCTCAATTCCCGACCATTATGCATAATCAACAACAACCCAGATGACAATACAATCGTAACTCCAGGTCACCTACTCATAGGACGCTCACTTGTTACTCAACCAGACCAGGTGGATCTAGATGAAAACGCTTCCATTTCGACAAGATGGAGATTACTTCAAAGAATGAAACGTGACTTCTGGAAGATATGGTCATCGGAATACTTACACCGTCTTCAACAAAGATACAAATGGTATACAACAGAACCAAATCTAAAAACAGGAGACATCGTCCTAGTAAAACATGAACATCTTACTCCAACAAAATGGCCACTGGCTAGAGTTACAGAGGTTCATCCAGGGACTGACAACAAAACTAGAGTTGTAACCATTTCAACTCCAGATGGATCTAAGTTTAAGAGACCAATCGTCAAGATATGTCCCTTACCAATCAACGACCCAATCGAACCTGAATCACCTAGACGAAATCCAACAAGCAAAACTAGTAATACAACTGCCTTCCTGTTTCTATGCTTAATGACCATGATTCTCCCAGCGAACTGTGCATACTACACCATAAAGAACCCAACACCTGGTCTCTATGTTGAACACTTGGGGGAAGCTGTCTTAAACCGAGAGGCCCTCCGGATCGACATCCCTATCAACATGACCTTGTTAGCACAACACGACAAGCTTGTCCGCGACACGATAAACCAGTACCAGACAATCTGTCGGCTAAGCTCCAGCCTAGGAACTGAGTCACATTGTCATAACCACATTTCTGAACTACAGCATCGATATGACGATATTCAGCGACAAATGCACGTAATCAAACATGGCTATGGATTCAGAAGAAAACGAGGACTTCTCGGTCAAGTACTAACTTCAATGTTTGGAGTAAACGATGAAGCGTACGCAGACATCGCTCAATTAGACAAGAATCAAAAACAACTTATCCAAGATTCAAAACACCAAACCAACATCATGCTAAAAACACTAGCTTCTTTAAACTACACCGAAGAACGAATAACGAAGAAACTACAACACTTCACGACACGACTGAATTATGGACTAGAAAAAATTGCATCGTACGACCATTGGTTCACAACAGTTGATCACAATGCAGTGTTCATTCAACTTTTATCAATATATCAACTGGCACAAGATGTGATGAGGGACTTAGAAGAGGTTTATACCAAATTGTTAAGAGTAGTCCATCAACAGGGACATGCAGTCGACTTCTTAACCGTTGGAGAGTTTCATCGCATCATATCCAATGCCACAGCACAGCTACCACACCAGTTTCAAATCATCACCAAACCAATAGGAAAAATGAACATCATTTCAAAGGAAGATAACATTACCATATTTGTGTATCTCCATATCGCCTAACGTCAGAGATATACCATAATAAACGTTACTCCCATCCCTCAAAGAATAAAATCCTTTTCCTTCTCAGCACTCCAAATCGATAAATCTCTTCTCGCCGTGGACTACAACAACCAGCACTACTTTGATATGACGATCAACGAATTGAACTCGGCAATAATACTTAACGACCACGAATATCTCTGTTCACCACACGTGCTTCACAACTTAAACTCAGCTCCAAACTGTATTATCGACACCATATACTCCCGTTCACAAAATACTACTTGTGGACACTATACATTTAGTGTAAAGGATTTACTCTGGAAACAACTTTACATGCCCAACACGTGGCTATTTATAGCTGCAACTCCTACGCGAATCAACCTACGATGCAATGGACAACTTGAAGATGTATGGGTGAACAATACCGGGATCATTCAGATAAATCAAACATGCACCCTGGACTCCGGACGAAACCTGTTGAAAACTAAGATGTTTTCCACTGTAAGGGGTCTAGCAGCCTTCCACAAACCGCTGACCTTAAACTTCACCATCAATCCACCAGTTAGTAACAAGCATGCATCTGCCCAATCAGAACCTACGTATGCAGCCCATGAAGAATTCGCCAGCATCATGCACGACGAAAACCTCCTCAAGCAGAGCTTGGACACTACAACTTGGGAAACTGTAAAACCGCATGTGACCAACTCCTCAATCACCATTCTGACTGTACTGACCATAACAATGATGAACGCTCTCATATGGGAGCTCCGAAGAAGAAGGAAGCAACCACAACCAACTTTCGTCCTGCCCCGCCATGATGTTCACACATGAACAATAATATCTGCCCTTTATACATTTATAATTCATTTAGATTTATAATTATTTATTTTATATTTTTAAACTAAATTTAAAGATTACATGTCATCGCACCTAATTGTCCTAGATATTTCGACAAATTCAACACCAATTATGCTAAATAACAAATTCCAACACTCACATGATGGGCTGACCAAAGTCAATCGGTTTATTCAGCATAATAAAATAGTATAAATAGAAAATCATGTAACATAATTTTATCATTTCAATAAACTTCAACGTTATTGTTAAATGGTCATTTTACTCCTTCGTACTATATCCAAGCCTATCTGCCACCGAGACGTGAGGCTGCGTCTCGATAGTACTGAAGAAACCTACCCCTTACAAATCTTGTTGGGCCTTGCCTAACACTGATCCTTGGACAACGCCACTGCTCACTTTGTGGGGGCTGGAAAGTTCTGCGTTAACTATAACTTGATAATACCTTTCGTCAAGCAATTCTTTAATCAAGGCAAGTAGCTTTCCTCTGACTCCATAGTGTTCTAGTTTTGCTATTAAAAGGTTATGTGGGACTTTATCAAATGCTTTTTCATAGTCGAGATAGATTACGTCTGTTGGTTGACCGTTGTCATGGTTTTTTGTCCAGTCGTTTAAACATTCTAAAAGGTTGGTTGTTGTTGAACGCTTTGGTAGGAATCCATGTTGGGGAGAGGGTATAAGGTTATTTTCCAGGAAAACCGATATCAATTCTTTGACTATGATTTTTTCCATGCATTTTAGAGGGTTGCATATAAGGCTGATAGGCCGGTAGATTTCTGGTCTGTGTCGATCTCCTTTCTTGTATAGTGGCGTGACAATTGAATATTTCCATGGTTCTGGGATCTTTCCTTGGTCCAAACATTCCCGCATTACCTCTGCGAGTAAAGGACTTACTGAACTGCTACAATTTTGAAGAAAAATTGTTGGAATTTTGTCTGGTCCAGGACTTGAGTCCTTTTTCATACTTTTAAGTGCTTCTTTGATTTTATTGGTTGTAAAATTCACAGTTTCGATCGAGTTTTCCACTCTACTATGGTCAGGTAGGGCTGTGATGGGATATGCTTCATTTGTAAAGGCTGTGTCGAACTGCTCTGCAAATTTTTCTGACATGGATTTACTGTCTAGAAACTGCTGGGATGTTGGGTCTTTTAAGGTTATGTTTGATACTTTCGAGTTTAAGTTACGGTTTATGTATCTGAAGAGTTTCTTAGGTGAAGATGTTTTTACTAGACCATTTTCAAATTTTCTCCTAGATTCAGCCAATATTTGCTTTGCTGTATTGTTTTGACTCATGTAGGCTTGATAGTTGTCCTGTGTTGTGTTTGTTTTGTATATGTCCCATAGTTTACGTTTTTTGTTAATTTCTTTCATCACTTGTTGATTAATCCATGGTTTTTGTGGATTTATTCTTACAGGCTTGGAGGGTATGTATTGTTCAATTGCACCCTTTAGAATACAATCAAAGTTCTCGAATATGGGTTTTTTATTTCTCACTGGTTGCCGTTGAATGAATTTGTTGATTTTATCATAGTTTGCAGTATAGAAGTTTTTTCTTATAATTTTATGCGTTTGCTTTGGTGGAATTTTTGATTGAGTTTTTGCTTTTATTACAACATGGTCACTACGGCCAATGGGTGGTTCTGAACAAGGATCGAAGAGGCTTTTGGGGTCGTTGGTTAAAAAGAGGTCTAAAAGAGAACTTTGGTTGCTCCTATATCTTGTTGGGAAATCTATGACTTGTCGAATGCCTATTTCTTGATACATGTCCATAAACTCCTCTGATTTCTTATCTGATGGTGTGATTGAAAGGTTTTTCCAATTAATGTTTAGGTAGTTGAGGTCTCCTACAATAATTGTTGGGTGTTTAAGGGTATAAGCATTTTTTATGTTATTTATCATGTGAGTGTTAGCTTCATCACTTGTCGTAGTTCCTGGCCTATAAATACAATCAAAAGATACATTTATTTTTTCTATTTGGATGTCAAGCCATACTGCATCAATTGGTGTTTGGAACTTATAATTGCTTGAAATACTGCTACTAATTTTATATCCATTAATTTCGTTTTTTGCTAGGATACATACACCACCTCCTTTTTGATTTTGGCGGTCTTCGCGGTATATGCTATATCCATCTATGCGTATCAAGCTATCGCTCATGCTTTCTTTTAACCAGGTTTCTGTGAGCATTATGAAAGTGGGATTTGCTGACAAAATTCTTGATTTCCATTCGTCAATTTTATTAACCACTGAACTCAGGTTACCATACCAAAATGATACCTCAACTACCCCAGACAAGTTTAGTTTTTTTCAGTTTTTTTAATTATTTTGGGTGTTCCATTTATATATTTAATAATTAGATTGGTTTTACCTTCTGCCTTAAGTTTTTCTAGCTCTGCCAGTACATCTTTTAAGAATTTCCTTTGGGCTTCTGTTTGGTCACTCTTCATGTAAATCCCGGTTTGATTTTCTTCGAGTACTTTTCTGCATTTGAGTGCACTCAACGCTTCCTCTTTTGTTGGCAGGATTACTTTAAGTGGTCTTTTCCTGTCAGCGCTCTCCTTTCCAAGTCTGTATACTTTAGCCATTTCAGGTAGTCTAAGGTTCATTTTTGAAAATAGCCCTGCGACTTTTCCCTGGTCTTCTTTTGCTTTTTCTTGCATATTATCTTTTCTAGACTCTTCAACGCCAAATATTTAAACATTGGTTGCTCTGCGCCATCTTTCCTCTAATTCAAATAATGCTGGTTACTTCTGGTGTTTTAATTATCTCTACTTTCATTTCAAGCTTCAGTGCGTCGGCATAGCTTGACTCTGGTAATTTTCCAATTACCTGGTTCATCTCCTCTTTAAATTTACTTATTTCCTTCCAAATTTCATCATTTTCCTTTCTGCTTTGCTTCACCGAACCTTTAAGTGAGTCTACTTCAATCTTAAGTTCTTCCAGGTTCTTTACTGTTGTATTGTACCTTGTTTTGTAGTTGGGGTAGCTTTTTGATTCACTCCTTGCATTCTGGGCAGAAATACATTGTAGCTCGTGATGGACTAGGTATGACTCTTACTTCTTGAGCCATTAAGCCGGTACACTCGCCACATATCTTCTTGCAGAAATCACAGGGGTAACCAAATAACTTGTCCTTGTTCTCCTTTAAAACACATTGGTTATTGCACTTATAGCACGCTTGCGACATTCTAACCTCACTTTATGCATTTAAATTGTAATAATAAGTTAATAATTTACGTCGTAATGTTGTATGTATTTTTTTAAAATTAAAAACAACTTTTTTATCGACACACATCTAGTAAGTAGAGACTACAATATTGAGTAGAGACTACTCTACGCTCAAGAAAGTGTGAAGTGATAAGTGTCAGCTACACGGTGGTCTTACCACCTGTCAATTGGACAATTTTCACGAGACAAACAAGGGAGGAAAGGGCCATCTGCATAACAGACAAGTAACCTTAAACATCTGCATGACATTGGACTTAAAACTTAAATTAGGCACTTAAGTGCAAATTTGCATAAACTCTAGAAAAAAACATAAAGTAAAGAAAGTGCATCAGTAACATTAGTAAGATAATAGTAAGCAAACACCAAAAATAAACACATATAACAAAAAAACAAAACCCTGCTTAAAATACCCCATAGAGACCTATACAAAATAATCTATCGGGCGCTACCGGATTCAATATGTGCATTTGTCCATGGTTTTTTCCGGATACGGCCCGATAGAAAATGTATAGGAAATTACCTATAGGCACACCATAACTTTTACATTTTTCCTATTGAGACCGATAGCAAATAACTCAATGAAGGATATATAGGGATATCCCTATAGAGCAACCATAAAACATTTGACAAAATTTTATTAAAACCTATGGGGTCCTATAGGGGAAAAATTAATTTCTACATTTATGTGCATTTTCCCCATTGAAACCGATAGCAAATAAATCAAGGGTGGATATCCCTATAGAACAACTATAAATCTCAACTATGGGTCCTATACAAACCGATACACCCTATAGAAACACCATACATCCCGATACAAATATCTGTCGGTTTGAACAGGGTCTCTATGGGGTATTTTAAGCAGGGAACCGCCCCATTCTACGATAATTTACACGAAAGCTGAGTAGGACAATAAATCTGTCATCAACACACGTGTAAGGCAATAAATCCATTAATTTAAGAGAACGGACCCAACAAATACACTTTAAAAAAAACGAGACGAAAACAAACAGATACTTAAAATCCAAACTCAGCGAAGATGACTAACGTGCTTGGGCAACCCAATAACTAAAAAATTGTTAGAAAGTTCGCACTACTGCGGTAATAAACAATAAACAACTCCCGAACTCCATACAGTAATCCCAAATGTTTGGAGTAATACTAACTGCCTGGTCTAGGGAGATACCGCGTCGTACTTAGATTTGAGTCGGCGTAATCGTCCCCTAACACCAAAATGTCTATCCCTCCCATCCTACTTCCTTCATGACATGAAGTTAAAAAAGAGGTACTTCCTACTTGAATGGATTTAATATTTACCCCATTTTTAAACACCCTGTAAATAAAATCACAATTTTTTTTATGTTAATTTTTTTGGTTGTCGATCAAAACTTATTAATAAGAGTGAGATTTCTTCGAAAAATCAAAAACATTGTTTTTTTCTCTTGTAAACTCAGGGTAACGTCAATGCCGGACGTTTGCAGATGACATTTACACCCGGTATTGCAGGTGAAATCCGACGTGACGGGTAAAATCCGATATGACAGGCAAAGGCAGCCATAACCGGACAAAAAGCAGCTTGGTTTTTCATCCGTCCAAGCCTGTTTTTTTCAGCAGGGAGGTTAGTACGGCGCAGGAGGCGTGTGGGCGTTGCAAACAAAAAAGCGCGAGGTGTTGAGTTGCCGCTATCCGTAAGACAATACAGCACGTCTAAACGCGCACGAGTGCTAAGCCGCAGTAAGCTTTGTCGGAATAAAGATAGCAAGTACTTAGGCGTGTATTTAGTCGTTCTTTACCGCGACGCGTCGCAACGACATGTATGCGTTGCAGTACAGTAAACAATGACGGCCAGGCCACACGCGTTTTACCTTTTAGCGATCGAGCGTTTTACCGAGATATTTTGAACATAATCAAGGAAAAGTTTTCCCAAAATGCTCGGCCAGAAAAGTGCGCGCTTCGCGAACATTCTCCGAGCACAATTGAGAACGTTCCCTCATTTACAACACTAGTTATCACTGATAGCTTATCAGAGGACAAGTATCAGTAAGGTGTTCGTGTTACTGATAGTGATATTTCTATAAATATATAAAAAAGATTGCGTTTGAAACTGGTTTTTCTTAGTCAAAATTACAATTATTTAAAGTTGTTATGTAATAGATTTTCAATAACAATTATTCATTCGGTTAACTTCCTTACCATAATTATTTGAATTACTTTTTGAATATCCGGCTTCAAAGCGGTAGGGGGGGGGAGTTATTGATATTTACTGATAGCTATTAATTAATTCCAAATTACTGATATAGTTATCAGAACCTACCTATTCAACTGATAGTTCCCATCTCTAGTGTGTAGTGACCGGCTATACAATTTAATAAAATAAAATATAATTTATTGTAATATAATTTAAGTTAGTAAGCAGAATAAACGTGACGTCACATGTAAACATTCCTTCTAATTTTTTCTGTCATCAAAGTTTATTTAAACTTAAATACTTGTGTTTGTATTGTATTTTTGTTAGGTATTTAGAAGCTTTTTTATATTGGATGACCGGTTTTGCCTGAAAATAGTATATTATGCATCAAGTTTTGTAAACGGCACTTTAGTCACGAGTTTTAATTAGGTACGAGCGAAGCTTGCGCAGCGAGTGTTTTTAAACGAGTGTCTAGATAAGTTTATAAAACAAATTGCACACTATACTATTTCTACGACGAACACAAAAATAAATTTTTTACGACAAAAAGGATTTTATGACAATTGACAACTAACTCAGAGAGCCAGGAATTGCCTTTTCGCCAATAACAAGTACAAGATAGGACTTTATATTCCTACGTTTTTTGTGCAATCGCGATGGCCAACAATAAACGATCACATTTGATGTGTGTTTGCATAATTAAATGCAAAAGTTAGGTATAGGCTATAGCCTAACCAAACTGCTTTTGCACCTCTAGGCTACCGTTAGTATAATTTTGGGAATGTTTGGGCATGGGCATTTATTTATTTATTGGCTAATATTTGAACAAATCTCGAGTATTTACATACAATGTGGCATGGCTGTTACGATACGTTTACTTAACTTGAGCTATATTAATTTTGCTTATTTTGAAAAGTTTAAAAGTTCCCGTTTTCTTAAACTGTTATTTTAAAAGGTTAGTGCGACCTACATACAATTTTTGTGTTAGTTTTTCATTAAAAATCATAACTTAATTGAGATAACCTCACTATAAGCGCAACGAATCCCGCAACATTCGTTGGCAACGTTGCCAAGTTTTAAAAGATTCCCAGAACTTAAAGACGATGCCTCCAAAAACAGCCTGTAATAATTGCGCTCAATTACTGGAAGTTGTTAATGGACTTAAATCAACCATAGACCGAATGGTGGTACAAATAGATTCTCTCCAGAAAAGTGTGGATAACCCTCCAGTTAATAAAGAGTTAACCAGTCTGCAGTTTGAGGAAGTGATACAAGAAATCACAGACAGGAATCGTAGGAAACTAAATATTATATTATATAATATTACCGAGCAAACATCTGATAACAGTACCGAAAGACAAAGATCAGATAAAACCAACGTAAATGAAGTAATTAAATTCTTAAAACCTAATGCGAATTTTGAAATTTACCAACCCTATAAGGCTAGGCAAATTCGACCCAAATAGGCCAACTCCTAGACCCATAAAAATACGACTTAATACCGAAGAACTGGTTATTGAACTTTTGAAGAAATCGTCAAATCTAAAAAATAATAATAACTTATAACACGTTATTATTGCACATGATAGAACACCTCGCCAAATAGAATACTACAAATCTTTAAAATCTGACCTTGAAACCAGAACAACCAATGGAGAAACGAATTTGAGCATCAAATATATTAGAGGTATACCCAACATTGTTTCTTTAAACGCCTAATGCCCAACAGTTGCGAAAATAATAAAGTAGACTATGAGCTACTAATATATTACCAAAATATTAGAAGTCTAAATAACAAAATTGATGATTTTTTTTCTTCTGTGTGTGATTGTGAATTTGACTTTATATGTATCTCCGAAACTTGGCTTAAACAGGATATAGGTAACTAACAGTGAAATATTTTCCAGTGATTATAATGTTTATAGATGTGATCGCAATCTGAGCTTAGGTCGTTTAAGGGGAGGTGGGACGTTAATTTCAATAAAAAATACTTTTATCGTTACCGAAATTAACTTTAAAAACATACAAAATATTGTTGGTTCTATTGACATTGTCGGTTGTAAAGTTCCTATAAATAACAAAACAACGCTGTATATTATTGTATTGTATATTCCTCCTGATATAAACTTAGGCGAATATGAACTTTTCTTTGATCTGCTGGGCACATTGATAAATGGGCTCGATGGGAACTTGGTACTTTTAGGGGACTTTAACACGCCAAATTTATTTAATAATAGTTTAGGTGATAGAAAAAGTTTTGTAATAAACAGTTTTTCTAATTTTTGTAATGTAACTCAACATAATAACATAACAAACAGTTTTGGAGGAATCTTAGATTTTGTTTATTCAGATGTCGATTTAGTGGTAACGCATGATGTTAGTCCTTTGGTAAGGGTTGATCAATACCATCCCCCTATTAACATAAATCTCAGTGTTAGTATAGCACAAAAAATAGTTTTCCTTATGAATGATACTAGTAAACAATTTAATTTCAAAAAAGCCAACTTCCCTCTACTTTATAATTACATCCTAAATATAGATTGGAATACTCTAGAAAATATTAATAACATTGATTCTGCTCGTGATTACTTTTATCAAACGCTATATAACGCTTTTCAATCACACATGCCATTAAAGCCAAATAATAAACATTTAAATAAATACCCTCCATGGTTTAGTTCTAACATAATATTTAATATAAATAAAAAGTTAAACTATCACAAAAAATTTAAACAAACTAATAAACTTATTTATCTCGAACTATTTAAGAGTATTAGATCATTG